TGAAACTCCCTCCCTCATATCTATCTGTCCAGCTCCCGTTCTTGTGTCTCTCTAATACTGAGCAGACAGTTTATAAGAGACTTGTGACTTTGAGTTCGCAAGCTTTCTAACGCGGTCTCAGGATAGGTTTTGTTTTTCCCAACAGAATACTGTGCCCTTCCTTTAGAGCAGTAAGTGTATCACATGCAGTGAAGTCAAATTCAAATACGCAGTATGGCAGGGTGATATTCAGACACCTAATCTAGTTTGACAGTAAAATTTGTACAGCATTCTGTTAGGCAGAACTTAGAGTCATAAAATTATATATACTCTATGTACTGCTAGTTTACAGTGGCACAGTGGATTCATGCAATGTACCAGCTCACAATAAGATATCTATGTGGTTTGAATAACATAGTTCAGTATAACCTAACATAACCACAAATGTACAGTATCACCACATACCAGCATGTCATTTTGAACACTGAGGAAGGAAAACCTTTAACTGACCTTTAACATTTAAGCCCTCCTGGCCTGTTTCTATAACCTTTACCATAACAGTCAATACTGACTATATTTATTAAAACTTCTATTCAAACAACTTACCTGTTACTGTTTCGGATGTTATCTAATTAACTTAAACTAACACTGACATGAAATCATCACAGATAACAGGTAGATACTCACTGAGGCTGATGATCTGCCTGTCGTTGTCCTGTAGGACTTTGGTGTTTCTGGGAGATCATCTCTCCTTCAGCTGTCACCTGCCCCATGATCTCAGACCGACTTCATTTGACTAACTCAATAAAGAGAGCTCTCTGCCCTGTCCATAAAGAGAAAGAGAAGGCCAGAGGCAGACAGAGGCTGATTCATATTATCAAAGATGTACTGTATCTTGCAATAAAGCTTTGTTAACAGGGGCCATTTTTGCATCAGTTATGTTAATTAGCCAGGACCTCTCGTCAGGGGGTCTGGGGGGGTCCTTTTTTTTTAAAAAATAAAAATAATAATAAATAAATACTGAAAAAAATACTGCTCCACTGTGCAGTGGTTAGGGTTGCTGGTTTGAGCCCCAGGAGGGAGCCCCTCTGTGCAGAGTTTACATATTCTCCCTTTGTCAGTGTGGGTTTTCTCCGGGTACTCCGGCTTCCTCCCACAGTCCAAAGACATGCAGGTTAACTGGCGACTCTAAATTGGCCATAGGTGTGAATGGGAGTGTGACTGGTTGTCTGTCTCTGTGTGTCAGCCCTGTGATAGTCTGGTGACCTGTCCAGAGTGTCAGCTGGGATAGGCTCCAGTCCCCTCTTGACCCCGAACAGTATGGGCAGTTATGGAAAATGAATTTGTGAATAAACAAATTAAGGAACAAGCTCTGTTTTGATGATTTTAGTGTACTATTTACAGTTAAGATACAAAAGAAAATCCCAGTGTGAATAACAGGGTGTCTACAGGTATCACACATTATTTAAATGTAATGCTTTTTAAGACCTTTTCAAGACACATGAATATGTATGTGCATGCAGAGGTAGGTTTTATGTAGAAATATGGTTAGTAGAGTCAGTTAGGTTTATCTACATTTAGCCACATTTAAATCCAAGAATAAAGGAAAAAGACAGTATTAGGTTTGGAGGTGGGTTTAAAGATATGTAACATCAAAAATGTATACTTTCATGCAAAAGAGCTTGATTAATTTTGACAAAGAAATTAAAAAATGGGTAAATTAAATTAGATAAAGTGTTTGTGGTAATTAAGACCACACAGATTAAAATTTAAGACTATTTAATGATTTAAAGCCTAAGATTTGGAAAATTTAAGACATTGTAATACTTTTTAAGGACCCACAGACACCCTGGAATAAATGTATTTTTTTTATTGTGGATTAGAAAATGGTGGGCAAGCCATCGGGGCACCCTATTGGATCCAGAGTTGAGTATCACTGTTCTGCAGGGGAATCTAAATATAGATCCCTTTTGTAAATCAAATTGTTTTAATACCGGTAGCCTACAAGCACAGGAAAGCAACTTAACTCAATCAACAGATTATGCAGAGGAAATGGTTTATTTCCATGATAAACATTAGACTGGACATCATTTTAACAAAATGTAAAAAAAAGTGCATTACACATGAACATTGGCAATGTACAGTACAGTACACAAAAGTTAACAAAAAAACAATTAACAAAACAAAATCTTACGCCCAGGTAGGTTTTTCATGTTCTACATTTTCCACTCGTCTCAACCTCGCATGCTTTGGGGCAGACTTGTGCTCTATAAATACACTCTATAAATGCCTGCATCCCCCTTGTTTTAAATTACAATATGTCTTAATATCCTTCCACACAAAGTCCTCAGCGTCTGGCTCTAAAGTAGGATTGTCAGTTTGATGCCTGCTGCCTGGGAATAATGCAATAAAAAAATTCAATCGTTGCCTTTTTTAATAGAGCCTGAAGACGTTTGCTTAAATTAGAGATGGCCCAAAGTCTTTTTTTTTTTTTTTTTTTTTTTTTTGCTGTGGTACAAACACGAGAACTTAATTATGAGTACTTCTCAATACACAGTAGCATTATCAGTGCTTTTCTTTATATCGACCACATCTGCAAGCTAATGTACTCCATAGCAAATTGTAGAGAAAAATATATACAGACTGGTAAATTTCAAAGACTGAAATCGATCCTATCTAATGTTTTAATGTAAATGATAGTTCTCATTCCAGCAAGGTTCCTCAGCCAGCTATTGAACCAATACAGTGTACCACACGTTTCAACAATATCAAACAAATACAATATTATTATAGGCTATTAATAAATGGAAGTCCATCAAGTATGCGTGTTTTTCGGGGGAGGTGGAGGAGGCTGCTGTGCATGAGCTTATGTGTGTTTGCATACGTTATTATTCTGTGCCGAGTTATACATTTGCAAGGAGCGCGGTTAAATTTCGGGAGTGAGGGTTAAGTAATGTACAAAAAGCCAGACCATCAACACACTCACAGAAACTATTGCGACGCCTGTGATGCTTTATGATGGAGCTAAGGCCAAGGTTAAGGCACTTAAATACAAACACAAATTCAAAACATGGAGCAAACAACCAAAAGTAGTGCTGTGGTCTGGGAACGCAAACAGAAGGATTTAGTGCTTAGCACATTGTGTGGATGTCCAGCACACTGATCAGGCCCACCTGTCGACACACTGACAACAACAGGCTTAAATTAGAAACACATTAATAATATATTAAAGGAAGAGTACAACATTTTGCTTATTTGCTTTCTTTCTGAGATGACAGCATTGATGCCACTCTCATGTCTCTATAGGCTGTCACCGTGTAACATTTCCCATTTCTTTTAGCTGAATATTTATCAACAACTTCATGGTTGTTATTTTAACATTTTTGACATTTTTGGACATAGTCTGTAGTATCAAATGCTGTCAGCAACTTTGCAAGTGCCTTATGTTACATCATGCTCATGTGAGGGAAAGAACAGGCTAAAGGAAAAACTAAATTACTTAAATCTAACTAGCGGAGCAAACCTGCAGCTCCCTGGGGTCCAGTGAAGGGAGGGGAAGGAACAGGGGGTGCACTGTCGAGGTTTCTACCGATCTAACTAAAAAAGAGCTAAATCTACAAAAAAAAAAATAAAAAATACAATAACCCCATGGTTAAAGATGTTTAAATAATTTGCATTCATTCTTTGCAGTTTTCTTCTGAAGAACTCAGATCTTTAAACACAGTTATGATAACACTCGCATGTGCTTTTCCTGCATACAAACAGGCATTGTTCAGCACACCCAGCGTGCCAAAAAAAGGAGGAACACAACATCAGTCAAACAGAGGAACTTGTAGAGCAACACCCTGTGGCACAGCAACTTTGGATTGGTGGCACAATTTAAACAAAACACGCCTCAAGCTGTCTGAACATGTAGAAAAATAACTAAATAAATGATGCGGAAAAGACTTAAAGAGTTAAACAACCTTTGAGTGCTGGGCTTTGCAGTTTCTTGATCAGTTACTTACTCTGAATTTAAAAATCAAGGAAATCTCACATTGTAAATAAAGAATATAATTTCTAATGTTCACACTGTAAATATAAATATTTCAATTTGTAATTTTAAGAGTTGGAATTATAATAATAATATAGAATTCTTAGATCAAATAAACTATAATCACAAGGGTGGACTCCTCACTTCAAGCAAAGAGCAGAACTACTTTAATGTTCTCAAATGAATTTGTTGCTTAGCTACAGATCTGAAACGTGTCTGTGCGCTTTGTGAACGGATACTAGAGTTGTGCTCAAGTGCTAAATCTATACATGGTTAGTGTGCCTTTGCAAATGTCTGTGGGTTTAGGGAAAGGTAGCTTGTGGTTTTGTAGCTTGTGGCCAAAAAGTTAACTGGGTGAGCCATGTTTACTGTGGGAGCCGCTTAGATTAAAGGGATAGTTCGGGATTTTTGAAGTGGGACTATTGTTAGTTTATTACATACAGTAGACTGTGGTCAATGTGCTCCCTGTTTGCAGAAATAGACAGGACTAGCACCCCAGAAGCTATGCTCTGCTAACACAGTGCAGGGCACAGTTGGGCGTTTTCGTGTAGGAATGCGGAGTTATACGGTTGAGAAAATGTAGCGCCAATAGAAAAGGCAAAGTAAAGCAGTGAAAATACTGTAAATATAATGTCCACTTAGAGTGATATCGATTTTTTAGGTTGCTAAAAGTTTTGCTTTTAACCCTAATCCAGAGCAATGCTTAGCTGAGTTTCTAGGGTGCAAGCTCTGTCAGTTTCTGCAGACAGGGAGTGCACTGACCGCTATCTACTGTATGTAATACACTTACTATTAATAAGTATCTCATCCATCCATCCATTTTCATCTACTTATGCAAGGCCGGGTCACGGGTGCAGCAGGCTAAGCAAAGCACTCCAGACGTCCCTCTCCCTAGCAACTCTTTCCAGCTCCTCCTGGGGGACCCCAAGGCATTCCCAGGCCAGATGAGATATGTAATCCCTCCAGCAAGTTCTGGGTCTACCCTGGGGCCTCCTACCTGTGCCCAGGAGGCATCTTAATCAGATGCCCGAACCACCTCAACTGACCCCTTTCGGCGCAAAGGTGCAGCGGCTCTGCTCCAAGCTCCCTCTGGATATCTGAACACCTTACCCTATCTCTAGGGCTCAACCCAGCCACCCCACGAAAGGAACTCATTTCGGCCGCTTGTATCTGCGATCTCATTCTTTCGATCACTACCCAGAACTCATGACCATAGGTGAGAGCTGGGACGTAGATGGACCAGTAAATCGAAAGCTTCGCCTTTCAGCTCAGCTCCCTCTTCACCACAACGGTCCAGCCCAGCACCCACATCACTGCGGACTCTGCACCAAACTGCCGATCCATCTCACACTCCATTCTACCCTTGCTCATGAAAAAGACCCCGAGATACTTGAACTTCTCGGACTGAAAAAAAAAAAAAGAACTATCCCTTTAATGACTAATGAGATGCAGACTGGGTAAAAAAGTAAGAGAAGACTTTAAATCATGATGGTGATTCACTGGATCTGGCAACAAGATATGGCTTTGGTTACATCAGGAAGTGATCAGATCAGGTGTGGAAAACAAAATTACATTTGAGCTTCTGAATGTTTCCTGACATTTAAATAAATGAATTCCAACAACTTAAAGGTATTTCTTCGGTCTTTTTTGTCATTCTTCCAGGCATAAGACGAGAGGTTAGGTCCAATTCAACCAATTTATCATCCATCTGATGAATGAATGCTGCTCACTTAAACTGAAGAATGACACATTTGAATGTCAAAACTTTGTTTTTTTAGTATTTAAAAAACACGACTTAAATATGTTTTCTTTCTAAGCATGTTGATATGTTCTGTAATACTGCAAAGTCATGCATGGGGCTTAAATGAGTGCTTTAAGTATGTGATTACAGTAACTTTAATGGAGGAGGTCAGGGTGAACCAGCCACTGAGCAGAGACAACAGAAGAGTCTTTGACCAAAACAGTTCGAGATGCTTGTGGTCCGAGGTACGACGCTTTACAAAGAGGCATAAAAAGGCTCACATCCTTTTTAAAAATGATTATGCTTCCACATGAAATGCCCTTCCGTGGTGCGGAAGCAGCTGCAGCAGGGAAAACATAAGTGACGGTTAGAGAGGACTCAGCTATCAGCGGTAACATGAGGAGATGCTGGATGCAATCAAAATGGCTCAACTGCAAACATTCATTGAGCTCCTTCATGAATACTGCTGATGAGTTAGGATTGAAAAACATACAGTACACTGACAGAAGCATGTTACTTCAGGTATTTCTCTTTCCATCAACATCAAAGTGCTAGCTATAGCGTTCTCAGTAGTTAAAAAGGAACAACCAGATCTTACAAACCATCACTGTCTCCTATCTTGGGAATATGCCAAACCTGTCTGTTGAGGGTAAAATGGCAGCATAACGCTCATCTCCACTGGGCTGTGGGGAAGTGTGATGATCCTGTATGTGGTGTGGGGCTGACAGGCTCAGAAGAGACCAGATCGGCCTCAGTCAGGTTTAAGGGAGAAGTGGAAGGACACAGGAAAGTCTCAAGTCCTTAACTGGCCAAAAGTGTCCAAGCCTTTAGCGTATGGTCAAAACAAGCAGCCTCATCTTGGTCTTAATGCCAGTAGATAATGACAGGAGACTCTCTGAAAGTACAGAGAGGCCTTTTGCAGCTTGTGACAGTGCAGCTATGAGGCCAGGACATAACAGTACAGGTCAGAGCAGAGCTTCGTTTCTGGTATGACACCACAGCGGCAGTCATCTACAGACCCACAGCCATCATAGTGTACCTGCTGGAGGCATCTCATCCATGTATATGTTAAGGCAGGGGCCCCACTGGGAGCTGGCCCTCCATGGCCAAGCTTGGCAGCTTCTCCAGCTGCTCTGCCCTCTGTCGCATCAGCTCCAGGCCAAATTCTATACCCAGTCCTGGCATTTGCAGCTGAGCCAGTGCCTGCTGCTGGAGCTCCACTGCACCATCAGGTTGTAATTCTAAACCTTCAGCCGAAGTCGCACTGATGCCCCCTGCATCCTCCCTCGTTATTTCTCCTCCCATGCCGTCCCCTTGTGGTTCATCCATGTCCTCTGTCTCCACCGAGCTGTGGTCAGGAGGCGTCTCCTCACAGTTCATGGGTGAGATAAGTTTCTGGTGGTTGGTTTGCGGGACAGGTGGGACACCGGGGGTGCAGGTGGCACAGCGGTACAGATGACTACAGGGCTGGACCAAGTTAGGTGGGACAACTGCAGGGGTTTGGAGGGACTGCAGAATTGGGGTGGAGGCAAAATTGGTCCCGGGCGGATCTATGCATATAGTGGGGACAGTGCAGTGACGGGAGGGGTTAAGGCGGTGAGAACGGCCTCCTGCTGGACGGTCACAGCGCCGCCCTTGTGGTAGACGCAGGCAGTCTTTACAGGACTGATAGGAGGGCTTCACTTTTAAAGGGTTTCCTGTGCTAGCACTGTCCTAAACGGAGCAACACAAACACAGTATATAGTCAGTGGCAGTGGGATGCACAATATTCAAAATGCTTAAAAAAGAAAGCGGTTTAAAACAAGATTGCTTAACACAAAACATGACTTTACCACAGTTAAAAGGTATATTTTCTTAACTCACGTCAAAAGCTGCAGGGCAGCTGCGCTTGGCGGCCAGGCGGTTGCTGTTGTTGGTGTTCAGGTTGGCCAGGCCCAACCGGCTTTCCTCCGTCCTCTCGGCCTCATCCCCTGCCCTCTTCCCATCCGAATTTCCAGGCGTTTGAGCCAAGGCCGCCATCTCAGCCTCCTCTTTCTTGGCCTCTTCCTCATCCTCTTCCTCCAAAGTGCTGATCTCGAGCCTCAGCCTCATATCCTCCAGGGGGTCGAGGCGCCCACACGTCTGAGCTGCCGTGCCATCGCCAGGCAGGGCTAAATGGGCCATGGGGAAACCCTCATCCTCCAACAGGGCATCCCTCTCTACGTCTTCAATCTCAATGAAAACTCTTTCCATACCGAGCAGAGGGGGACCCCGCACCGGGGTGGAGGGCTCACTGTCTAGTGCAGAGTCTGACAAACGTCTGAAGTAATAGTTATAGTTGAGAGAGTCAAGAGGCTCCATCTCTAGACCCATACCCCTGCAAGGAGAGGCTCCACAGCCTCCCCAGGCTTCTTCCCCTCTGAGCACTGGTGTCTCCTCCCCACCAGTGCAGTGACCAGAGGCTTGCAAATCCTCTGATCCCTCCTCATCTGTTCCAGGCCTCCATAGCTTGTTGTGGCGCTGTTTACTATGAAAGCAAATCATACTTTAGCTCATATATGAAGAAAATAAGTGACTCAGAAAGCTTCAGAAAGCACCACTGATGCCAGCAGATGGTGTGTAATGGATAGATGAAACCTCATTGCTGCACTACAGTGGAAAGAAATACTCCCAGATGCAGGTAGCTGAGGAAAGTGCAAACCTGAGTGAAACCGTAGACCTGCTTACCTTGCGTCCAGGATTCCCTCGTACTCTGCCAGCTGTCTCATGAAACCAGCGTTCGGCTGAGCTATACTCCGTTTCTGCTTGACAAAGTTGTAGGCTTTCTCCAGGGACCAGCCGTATTCCTTCATTGCATAGGCAATTACTGTAGAGGCAGACCGGCTCACCCCCATCTTACAGTGCACCAGGCACTTGGAATTGTTCTTCCTATTGGACAGGAAACACTTCATTCACATCACGTATATTCACAGTGATTAGAATATTTTTTCATCATCTTGTTTTTTTGAATGGTGTTTTTCAGGATTCTGCTGTGAGCACTCCACATGTCTCAACTCCAGCCTCACCATTTTATTTTTACAAACATCCTTTTTTTTTTTTTTTTTAACCTCAGGTTAACATGCTTAGACAGTTGCATAGCAACCAGACTCTCTCTCTCTCTCTCTCTCTCTTACTCACAGCTGTGTCAGGCATTCCAGAAAAAATGTGTCGTCCTGTGTAATCACAGCTCCAGCACTCGGGGAGAATACATGATGTGAGTCAGTCAAACTGTGACGACTTCGAAACGATGACTAAAGATCACGTCTATTAATAACAAAGTGCTGTGGGGGCACAGTGCTGTTGACTGTTGTTTCTTGGGTAACAGTCTAGTGTTACAGTTTATGATCTGTATAATTTTTCTATCAAAACACGCATCCTACAGCCCCCTCCCCTTTCTGCCCTTACTTGGCTTTGACTATAAAGTTGTAGGTGTCGTTCCAGTGGGCCAGCAGGTCGGTGGCATCCTCGTCGTACACGCGGACGTTGTGATAAGAGAACATCCCTGGGAAGAAGTTGTCAATCTCTCTGGTAACATTGAGGATGTAGCCCACTCTGCAACCAGAACACGTTGACATCAATCAGACTAAACATCTATGAACACTGCTTCACTGACTATATAATACTTGAAAATCATACAGAGACACATTGGCTTAAAGATAGTAGCAACTTTCAGGTAAAAAATATACATGTATAGCCTTTATTCAATCCTGTATAAGAATAAACATTTCGCATTAAATAAAGATAACACTGTTTGTTAGAGGTAAACTTTCAGCTCACCCGCAGTCACGTAGTTCTTCCAGGTTGGAGGCGTTCCACTCAGAGCCCTACGGAGGCAAAAAGACAAACTTATCAGAATAATAGCTGAATATTACTGTTACGTTAATCCCTCTCATCACTTATGGCCATCTAGAAATGTGTCGCTGAATTTATCTGCCCTCTGCTTGTATTGTCTTCTTATTTTGCTATGTTCGGGACGTTTCTGTGCGCAAAGCTCCCGTAACTGCACACAGGTGAGGTCAACACCTAATAAAAAGGTGAGGACCAGGATTCTCCTCAGAGCAATCCCTGAAGGGTTTGAGGGGAGGGCCAAAATGTACCTATTATAAATCCTCTTCAGGGCTGCAATTAAATGTATCACAATAAGATGGTTGAATCCTGAACCTCCAACGTACAACATCTGGATTTAAAAGAATATGAGAACTCATCTTATACCTGGATAGATGTTAAAGGGGCTGAAAACTTTGTACAATGATCAAAGTACTATGCACTATATAAGTTATGTAAAAACTGTATTGCTTGTATAAAATGCCAAAGTTAAAAAAAAAGTGAGGACCAGGTGCCAGAATGTAAGCACCACAAATCCAAAAGGAAGCTATGAAAACTGCGTGCACAGCACAGTAAAAATGCAAATATAGTGAGTTGAAATGCCAAGCAGACGAAGCTTGTTCCAATTTGAGAGTGAATCTGGGGTTGTCTTTCACTTTTGCTGGAGAGCTCTGAAGGAAAGGATGAAGAGTGACGCAGAGTTGGTCTGTTTTCAGTTGGACAGGTAGGTGCTGCCGGATAGTTAGGTTGCTAATGATTCAGCTTTTCCATTATAACAAACGTAATGTTCCTAGCAGCGGAGGAGGGGCCAAGTTTGAACGCTGTGTCTATAAACGAAAACTGACAACTCCTGCTTAGCATTACTGTATGTTACTGAGGTAAGTACTAACAACAGTGTGACAGTGTGTGGGTCTCAGTGTGGAGGAGAAGTTAAGAAAATAATGCTGAAATATGAAAACAGGTAAAGATAGCATAAAAAAAAATGAATAACCCATTCTCACCAAGTACACATGATCAAAGATAAGTGTGGGCTTGTCCATCTGACCCAGGATCAGAAGCATCTCGTTGTCGATGAACTCTTTGTACTCTTTGAGGTTACAGCTCATATGCTGCTCCAGCTCGTTACGGATCTGAGGACGAGGATTGAACATGAAACACTTTACGCTCCTAAAACAACAGCGATACACAGAGAAGCACTAAAACACACTGGATCTTTACTGCAGAACAAAGCTCTCCTCTCTGGTTCTATGTACTACACAAAGTTTCACAGTGTATTCCAACAATAATCTGATGTATCTTTTTCTCAAACCTCTAAGTACAGCATTATAAAACGATCTGGACCAATCACACACATCGCTCACTGAGGTGTTGATCTGGCACATACCTCCTTTGAGGTGATGTTCTCCAGGTCTTGAAATGTCATGATGGTGCGTAGCTTGGCTTTAATGAGGCACTCTGTCCTCTCTCGCTCAGTCGGCCTGCACATAATGAGTCAACACATCAGTGCTGCTGTCTGAATGGAAATTAGCATAACAGTGAAACATGTTCCCACAGCTGAAGACAAGGGGACAACAGCTGGTGTCCAAAGCTTTGCAATCTATGCTATGACTAACGACATAAACACGACAAGCATGTTAGAAAGCAGCAACAATTGGTGTGTTTGGCCACATGACAGATACTGTTTGGAATCCCCCTCCAGGGTACAGGGTAATTACACCAGAGTGTGAATTTTATCATAATTACAACAGTTATGTTACATGAAGCAGGCTGCTGGGTCTCACCGGTCGACGAACATGGTGGGTGAGTCAGGCCGGGTGGACTCCAGGTCGGTCATAGCGTTCCACTCATTGATGCAGCTTTGCTCTGAGGTGATGCAGCTCTCATAGAAGGCCATCCACGTGAGAGCGATGCCACCTTGGAAGTAGTTGAAGCGGCGCGACACCTCGCATGCCTTGTGGAGGACCTGCAGAGCAGACCTGCAGAGACACAGAGAAAATGCTTTACCATCAAAAATCAGGGCAAATAAAACCCTTGCAGACTTATAGGTATATTGGTCATTCTGACAAGTGACCAGCAGGTGGCATGAGGAGGTCTTGAAATCTTTGAATAAACAGTGGCAGAGAGCAGCTCAGGAGAGAAATCACAGTGGTGACCATAGTGAAAAATGATTATCAAATGCCCAGTACTTGTTTGTTATTTTACCAAAGCCAGTAATTTTCTTTTCTAACACTTGATTTTTTTTATTGTTTTTACAATATATTATATAAAGGAAGAGAAAAAGAAAAGAAAACAAAAAAACCCCTGTCATACTGCCTAAGCATAATACCACATATGATCTAGGTATATCACCGCCCAAATTTTTAACTATAACCATTTACCCATAACTGTACAATTTCAGCGCAGAGCCAACGCACGTGTATGATCCACATTTATTGCCCCACATCTTCTCCAACATGGCCGTGCTATAGACAGATATGTGCACTTAATTTGTGGTGTAATAAAGAATCTAATTATATTCTTCCAACAGTGCTCTCTCCAAGTAAAACCAGTAATTATCAATAATTTTAATTTGGTAGATGTGTGAGGTTGAACAGTCTATAGATAATGGTACTTTTCCCTGATGCTGTGTGTGTATGGGATAAAGAGCACCCACACAATGACAAGGCACTATTTAAGGTGTCTACAGGTTTTAGTCACTAACATTCATGTTTTTAAGGCAATTTTAGGATGATTTCTTAACCAAATTTAAGACTGATTTTTTTGGCAAATCATCTATTTCCTTATTCAAGCATTTAAGTTAAGTATAAAGGTAAGTACTATACATGTGGTCCTGTGCAGATGTTGTTTTTTTATGTAGAAATACTATTAGAGTGAGTCAGGTTAATCTACATTTCACCAACAGGTAAGTGTGAGTAAAAAGACACTATTAGTTTCAGTGCTAGGCTAAAAGATTAGTGACATCAGAAATGTGACTTTCATGCAGTAGAACTTGACTCATTTTGACAAGTAGTTATTAAAAGATGGATAAAAGAAATTAGATAAAATGTTTGTGGCAATTAATACATCTTAAATTCAAATTTTAGACTATTTAATGACTTTTGAAGCCTTAATATTTATAAAACTAAATTATGGACCTGCTGACAAACAAATGAAACCTATCCAATGAGCCATAGCTAGTCTAACACATTTACATATTCACGAAGTCCCAAATTCCAGCAACAAAGAAATCATGTTTACGTCTGAACCCCCATTTGCACAGGACTAGTATTTGTAATAATTGCGGAGGTCGTCTGTGATCTCGACCCTGTGTGAATCTGCCATTCTGTAATTTGTCAATCAAAACTTTCACTGCAAACTACCTACCACATTTCACCAAACACAGAGCGAATCGGCATCTCTGTGATTTGGGGTGGTATTTAGGTCTTCTGTTTTCTCCGCGCCTCGTTTCTGCCTCTATTACAGAGGTCAGATCAATCAGGAGAGTGAGATCTTGAAAGCTGAGATGGATGACGTGACAGTGTGTGGCAGAATTGATTCGGTTTGTTTTATTTACATTTAAAAAATTGGGTTAACACTGTACATTGCAGCTAGTAGTGCTGTGTAATGTGTTTACAGGGATGACAGAAAGTGTACTTCCAAGCATTTGACATATCATTGAACTTCTTGTGTATTTTTCATATGGACATGACTGGAATGACACATAATTGGTGGTATTTTTTACATATGTACGTTTCTTAAGTATCACACTGGGCTAAGAGTACAAACTTGGATGATGTCTAACAGTTATTTATTACCTTTTCGTGGTGCTGCTTCTTGATCCCATAATTGAGCTAACCAGGCTAATCTGATCATTCACCATTCTGTACCTTCACACCACAAACACACAACAGTAATCCCAGGTAAACACGAAGGATACACTCACCACATGGCCTGAACCGACACAGGCTTGAAGACATGTGACCGCCCTGCCGTGTTCACGCTGAAGCCTCTGGTGAGGAAGAGGAGGAGAAGGAGGGTCAGTTTGGGTGGAGATGAGGGATGTAAACAGACTGGACACGGCTCGTTCATGGGGGCTATTCAGGACACCGACCAGTGGAACATTCCTCCAGCATACAGAGACAATGTTAACAGGTCAGCAGGAACTGTTCCCACACAGAGAAAGAAAAATGCATGTAGTTCACTCCTCTGCCACCGGTGGGCAGCAAATCTAAAAGGCAGAGAACAACCAAAATACAGCTGGAGGCCTGCAGACACATACTGTACATTACAACCTCTCGCTTCACATTCATAGGTGTACCTTTAAAATCAGCCTGTTATCAGCCAGCTGATTTAAGTACTCCATCTTTAGGAAAGGACAAAGTGAAACTCACCCGTCTCCGTCTAAATGTATGTTGGTATCACTCCACAGTGGCAGCACCATCCCAATAGAGCAATTTTTACTGTAGATCACAAACAGTTACACTTTAACAGATCAAATAATCAGATTAAACTGCACTTAATATGAGGCTGCGGAGAGAGTAATTACCTGTCCTTGTCTGTAAAGTCCATTCCCAGGACGATGTTTTCCTCCGTATCTTGATGGCCATTGGTGTAGATGACGACCATGTAGCGCACCCGGTCTGACCAGCCGCTCTCTAACCGTACAGCCTGTGAAACAGAAGGAGAGCGTGCAAGAAACATGCAGTATTCAGTGGTGCTGTCATGTGTAAACATGTGTGACTGCATGATAATCAACAAACTGAAACCAACTCTCAGTAAACAACACTTTCTATTTACTGAATGTCATCAACTTCATGTGTACAGCACTCACACAAACAATGCATACTACCCAAATACTTTAAGTATCAAACTCACCAGCTTAATGCGATCTTCAGACCGGAGGATCTTGAACATGACCTGCAGGTGTTGAGGTAAATCACCTGAAAGTGAAACACACTGTCAGACTCAATGGGAAACTGAATAATTTTTCTGCAATTCAAAGGGTACGTTTACATGCGCATGAATATTCCACCATTATTCTGAATTTCATACGGGTCGTGTAAAGACCATATTACGTTTAGATATTCCGAATTAAGACCTTTGCACACTGAGGCTGTTTTTTGTGTGTTTTTTTAAATCCTTCATCCTAAAAAATGTTCAAATTCAAAATGTCAAGACACATTTGTTCCTTCACTTCTTTCCACTGCAGGTACCTCCCTGTCTGTCACCACTCTCTGCAGGCGTCTTGCATTTGACACGATGGCTGAAGGGGCTGAGCTGTCCTTCCTCTCTGTCTCCACACATTCATTTTCTCTGTCTGTGTGTGATCCACCTCCTCCATTACATCCTCCTCCTCCTCCTCCTCCTCCTCCTCGTCATCATCATCCAACTAAATATTACTGTTGAAAGTTGGTTATCGGAGTTATGAAAGGAAGCTGTGCGACCTGTTCCTCTCTTTCGTTGTGAATGTGTCCCGCCTCTACATATTCGTCACTGCCTCTTGGTCAAACAGCTCTCTAAAGGCTTTTGACAGATGCAAAGAACCGCAGAAAATCAAACCTGTTCTGAAAATGTTAGACGTACGAAAGTTTCAGAGTCAGTGTTCCAACGTTACTGACACAACGTTTTCCACATGCAACAATTTAGAAAAAAACAGACTCAGTGTGCAAAGCCCTTTAGGCCTTATTCCGAATGGAACGTTTTGCGATTAAAAAGTGTGGGATATGCCGATATATTATTCAACTTTTCATACCATTCTTTAAACATGTATACAGCACATTAAGAATATGTGACACATGGCCTTCTGCCATTTATGGTCAGCTCTCTTTGTTGTCATGGGAGGGTTGCACACAAATCAACTTGCTAACAGCCTGCAAGGCTGGAGTACAAATGCTTGCCCAAAGGAAACTCCACATTTCTGGTCGGAAGGAGAAAAGCACCTACTTTTAAACATTTTAAAAGACTTGGATAACAACAAGTTTTTGGATATGCGCAAATATCGCAACACAACCTTTTCAAGAAGGTGGCTGAAGGAATAAAAGAGGGGGGTTGTTTCTCATGGTCAAACAAGTCCGCCAAAAAATCCTGGCACAAGCAACAGCTGTCACACTTTTCCATATTTTAACGTGACAAACAGCATGTTAAGGCACATTAATCTGCGTATGTGCAGCTGCATGTTAACAGAAATATTAGTGGAATATTCCTTTTCATTGGACTGGATGTCTAAACTGAACTTTACGAGCTCACACAGTGTAGGAGCTTAGCCTATTACTTGCGGCTACATGGATGTTTCACCCGGCCTGACCTGGCTGACGTGATTGATGCCACAGCATCCTTGGTTGTGTTGAGTTCAGACAATAAACTGCAGGTTTCAGTTGCAGAATAATTATCATATTCATTCATACCACCAAACACAGGTTGAATAAATGCCCATTTTTTATCGTTCGTTCAAACTGAACACACAGCCTTCAGCACGTTGCACACTGTCCAGCTCTACAGCGGATAAAAACCTTTTGCCCTTCCGCATTGAAACACCTGACGGCAACAATGTTGTTCCTACCTTTACACACTAATGCACCAAATATCAACACAGCGCCACCCTGTGTACATACAGAGTAAATACAATCAATGTCTGCTGGGTGAAATGACATATTTGGCTCATACACAACAATCCTGACAGAGAAAATGATTTCCCGCCACTGCAGTAAATAAAACTGCCTTCGGTAGGCTGAAAATATCACCAAGTTCAGACTGAATAATACAGAGCAAACAATGCACACTTTAATAACCGACAGGCTTCACTGCAGAGACACACTCTGGAATTTCTAACAGAAAAACTAAAGGTCAACTACAAACTGATCATTCAGCTTCTTCTATTGTAAATTCATTGTTAGATTTTGTCTCCAGTGGGAGGAAATATGCTCATGGATTTATCTCAATGAGGACAAGTTTTAAATCTGTGACCTTCCAGCTGTGCTAAGCTAAAGTGTTAGTGGGTAAACACCTGAGTCACATGTGAGCAGACTTCTGACTTGTCCTGCAATTGTCCTCAAATGACTTCAGGCTAAACGAGGACGTGAGATTAGAAATCTATTAAAGAACCAAAAACACTCACAGAGGGTTGTTATTTTTAGATTGTGCATGATTATTCCACATTTTAATGTCACTTTGATGTGCAGACAAACAGCAGCAGCAGCATGGTTGTGTAATAATCATGTCAAGTAGTACTCAAAAAGTGTAAGAGCAGATCCTGACTGTATATTTCTCTGGAATAGCTTTAAGCAAACTGCTTGAGACTTGATCTTGTTTGAACTGATTTGTGAGAATCCCTTGTGTCAAACTGCAGGTCACTTCAGGTCAGACCCAGCGGGGCAACATTTCCTAACACAATTTAGAATAAACACAGACAAACCCACGGAGAGAGAAAAAGCCACCTCAGCAAATACACTTTTCCTTTTGTCTGGAGCTCATTTGTGCTGAGAGTATAAGCGACAGAACAAGAAACAAAGCTTCTTCTGTGCGTGTTTTGTTCCTACCTGCATGCTTGTGGTGGGTGGGGGTCTTTGGTCCCTGTGCGCTGCCGCCCTGCTGGAGGAACAGAGCAGCTCCTTTGACCATGAAGAAGCTCTCACTGAGGCTGGAAAAAGCAGATGTGGGAAATACAATCAGGGCTTTTGAAACCTTAACAAAAACTTTTTACAGTACAGTGTACTCTAATACCTGCACCAGGTTAATAATGTCTAACCAGTTTAACCACCCGTCCTTATGCTTCCTTCTTTTCAAAAGGAGAGTGTTTTGTGAGAGGATGGTTTGATCTGATTTGATTCATTTCATCACTCAGCTCAGATATCTGCAGATTCCAGTCAAAAACCTCATCGTCAAGGTCTTCACAACCCTTTAGTTTTACCTTATAAATGCACTTTAAACAACACTTGTACATGTACATTTGACTCATCCATACATGCCTTACACCACTGATCTTATTTTTGCTTTAGGCTCAAACAAGAAGAAGGTGACAGGTTTAATTGAATCCTTAATGCTACACAGACTTCACTCTTTCAAAATAAAACAATACAAAAGCTATCGTTCTATGTTTTTTCCGCTTGTGACTGATGCTAGTCTTCAAGCAACCTTAAACCATTAAGGTTTTTTAATGTAACACCAACACTTGACAATGTTTCTAACATCATTACCTCTAATCTAGACGCAGATCCCCTACATGCCAGCCTCAGCATATCTAACTCCACAATCAGCCTCTTTCATTCTCCATACCTATTCTCTCATTAGCAATTAAACCAATGGGTTTCAAGGGTGTAAATGTTACACCCTGATGAAGACTCTCTAGTTGAAACATGTTGGTTTATCTACGCATTAATAAAGGATTTTTAACTACAGTCAGAGGGCCTCTGGTGCATTTTTGGACTGCCTGCCTATACCATGGACTTTTACACTGAGTGAGCTGGCCAGTCGTTGTTAGTGTAAGTACCTTAACCCAGTGTAGCACTCCCTATTTTGTCCTCGTAATAAAAACAGACTGTTTTACGTTGACATGGTGGGATTATTTAGGCTCTTTGACTGTTAATTTGGTCTATACAACTGTTCCTGTGTGACTTACAGGAGCTGTACGTGACATTCAGAGCATATGTATGGTTCAAAGTCTGAGCCAGGATTGTTTGCGCTAGGCTCTCAACATGGAGGTGGGTGTGCCAGTGGCTAGCAGCTAACAGTGCTAACAGCACATACAGTGATAAAAACAAACTGGCACAAGAGGATGGGTGCTACGCTTCAGCGACAATGCCGTTGCTGTGATCAGTGGTAACCACCCATAATCACCATATGACCACAGTGTAGAGCAGTGGCGATTAGCTAGCTAGTAGGATACAAACACACACAAGACTCACATGCACTCACATGCACACTCAGCCAGATCTTCTACCACACAGCTGACAGAGAAACTTGGATTAAAACACACACAGAGGGAGTATGACTTCATTCCCCTCTCAGAACGCTATTACTCTTCTATATCGTTACACAGAATAGCTGAAAATGACATCTTCAAATTGCTTAAATTGTTTGTTTTGTTCGATTATAACCCCCAAAGCAATTAATTAATTCATTTCATTCTTCATATCTGCTTATACTCTTGGGGGTCACAGGGGGGCTGGAACCTATCCTAACTGACATTGGGCGAGAGGCAGGGTACACCCTGGACAGGTCTCCAGACTATCACAGGGCTGACACATAGAGACAGACAACCATTCACACTCACATTCACACCTACGGACAATTTAGAGTGACCAATTAACCTGCATGTCTTTGGACTGGGAGGAAGCCAGAGTACCCAAAGAAAACCTATGCTGACACGGGGAGAACATCCAAGCACGGCTGAAGCTGAAACCGATGGATGTTTTGCCAAAACATGAAACATCAAAAAACAAATTTTGTGGATTAATTTTCATCTGATCTGCAAATAAAGTCATCATGGTCAAACTGGAGCTGAAACCCAGTTTTAAATCATGAGATGTGTCCAAGAAATGCAATGACCAAAGTTGAGGGACATAAAAACATCTACAGTCAGGATACTGTGCGTACAGTGAGCAGCCAGGTGTAGGCTGCATACTTATTAAGTCCTCACTGGTTCAGCGAGCAGGACAGAGGGCTCATCAGCGGCTGAAAGTCAGCAGAGTCATGACGCAGTGACTTTTACAGCCCTGTGTTTTTATAGCATGATTAACAGACTCTACTCCAGCGGGTTCGCTGACCTACGGCGAATCAAGCGTTACACCGCGACTACCCATATGTGCTTGGGCCTTCAAAACTTCCCTCTCTTGTCCGACCTGTGTTGGATGCAGCAACTTCTGGGTCATGACTTTGTTATGAGGGCTGCAGTGAGGCAGGAGGAGAGGTTTAGTGTCTTTTCTCACACAGAACAGAGTGCAGCTTTGTTTAACTGCAGTCTCATTCCCCTGCTCAACCAACACACACACACACACACACACACACACACACACACACACACACAAAGCCTGGTATGACTGAGTGGGACCATCACAAGGCCTTTTGTTTCAGCTCCCCTGCTACGTGGTATCACGGGGTCCTTTCAAACATATGTCAAAGATGTATAGCATGGAGATGACAGTGAATGAATCACAAGGTGTGATGTCAATTATTTAACCTTTAACAAGTGTACGCTACATCTGAGAAAGATTTTCAGAGTAAAAACCTTAAACTCCTGACCAAGCTTGATCACAGACGTTTTTTTCTTATTTAAATTTAAAAAAAAAAAGCATAGATAGACTTTGAATTAAATGTTCAGCTCCTCTAAAAAGTGTCCACTATCAAGTCGACTATCCACTTTTTGTTTGTGGTGCTGTTACAACTTACATGCGACAGATCTCCCTCCGAGTCAGAGCAGCTTTCTCCACAAAGTGAGGCAGCACGGTCAGCATAGGTTTATGTGAGGGTTTAACAACCAGATGCATCCTGCTAGTAGCTGGCGGACTATTTCCAGTCTCAAATCTCAAGAAAACCTCTCCAGTTTAGTTTCCTCTTCTCAACATCCTCCCATCCATCTTCCACACCTGCGTATTCCTGTCCGTGATCAGGGGACTGCAGCCTCTTCTAACTTCTCTTGTTGTGGTCTTAGTAAAGCAAGTCCTTCCTCTTTTCCTTCGACAGCTTTCTAAATCCTGAAGTCTCCTCGTCTGCGCTGCCCTGTCCCCCCTCAGTCTCCGCTCACTATCTCCTCTCAACAGCACGTGCTTCGGCAATCAGCTCTCCCTACGCAACGCTCTGCCACAATACCATCATTCATGCAAGCACTAGGAGGCGGTGGAAATGTTACTTGGCGTCAAACTCAAGTCTGACATGCAGAATCCTAAATGAAGACTCTACACGCTGATGAATTACTGAGTCACAGAAACATATTGCTCATGTAGACACTCAAGACAAGGCATGACATGACTGTTTTCAACCGTGAATGACCCCCGCCCACACACACACAATCACACACACACAGTGAGCACAAAGACAGAGTCTGTGCCAAAGCTTTGCTGACACAAATCCTGACTTCTGTGACGACAGGTTGATCAAAGAAAAGCTTTGTAACCGAGGGGGAACAACAGTTTGTGTACTCTGTGTTATGTAACAGAGCAGAAGAAACATTTTTAAAACCTGTCACAATAAATCAGCTGCACTTGGGGCAGGTTTTTGTCCTTGACAACAGCGAGAAACTGCCTGACTGATACTTCTGAAACTTCAGGACTGAGGACAAGACAAGCAGCTCATCACGTGCCAAACAGGGGTGTAACGGTACACTGATTCGGATCTGTAGATCAGTTCAAATATCACTGATCTAATATCATTGATTTAAATACTGATACATATCACCATCTTTAAGATACAGCTTTCTTATGTAATTCTAAGAGGACGGCTGTGTCACCATTTCCGTCCAAGCACATCTCCTTCCTAAACATTCAAACACTTGCTGTGGCCTAGCGCTAAGCAGACACTGGTAAGCAGCCAAGAAAAAGACAATGAGGATATCTACTGATATCGTCTCATGTCACTCACAGGCCCATAAATCGAATCAAAATTGTATTGTGGCAGACTTTGTGATGTCAGCAAATACTATATAGCTGTCCAAAGAATCAATATCATAATGTAAAGTGGTGAAACTTGTGATTCACACCCCTGCTGCCAAAGTACTTTCAACAATCACAGCAACATCACTCTTTGACAGTCTAATTAATTGCTTACATTGAGCCAGTTAAAGTGTCATTGCCAAAGTTGTGTGTTCTTTAAACCCTCGTTCCAATTACTCATCTGTGTAACAAGCACTTGGTATAAACACGACCAAATAATATACACCACCAGAAGCCTACAAGATAAAAATCTAACCTAGAAACTAAGAGGAAATTAAAAAGTATTTTATGATGTCGACCTTTTATTAACTAAGCAATGGTTTCTACTTGTACTGTTGACTTTCATCTTTCCAATGCATTGCAATTTTATTTGGCATAACACTTTTTAAAAGAGCCTCACAAAGTGTTTTACAATTGATTAAGGTTAGATTAATACTTATATATGCAAAAAAGACAAAGTTCAACTGAGCATCGTGGAGTTTTCAGGTTTAAAGGGACAGTTCACCCCCAAATCAAAAATACGTGTTTTTGCTCTTACCTGTAGTGCTTTTATCATTCTAGATTGTTTTGATGTTGGAGATATCGGCCGTAGAGATGTCTGCCTTCTCTCGAATTTAATAGATGGCACTCAGCTTGTGGTGCTCAAAGTGCCAAAAAATACATTTGAAAACTCAACAGCAATGTCTCTTTCCAGGAATCATGAACCAGTTCAAGAAAATCCACAGACCTTGTTGTGAGCAGTTTCATGTAGGAACTATTTTCTTTCAACTAACCTACACCTGCCAACTGTGTCACTGTGCAGAAGGAAGCATGCATCTACTGCTAGCTCACCTAGCACCACTGAGCTAGCTAACATTACAGCTCAGCTGAGGAGGACGCTATTAATGTTAAGATATTGTGCTGTCACAAGCATGAACCTCCCGTCCATGAGTAGATGCACCGTTCCTTCTGCACAGTGATACAGTTGGCAGGTGTAGTCGAAAGAAAATAGTTCATACATGAAACTGCTCACAACAAGGACGGTGGATTATCTTGAGTAACAGGGGCATGATTTCTGTAAAGAGACATTGCTGTTGAGTCTCTCAAATGTATTTTTTTTAGCACTTTGAGCACCAAAAGCCGAGTGCATTCTAGTTCCATTATATTTGAGAGAAGGCAGACATCTCTACGGCCGATATCGCCAACACTGTACAACTTGATTTTGGACTGAACTGTCCCTCTCACTGTTACAGCCTGAAATGTTCAATAACAAAATAAACTGTGTTGTTAAGATGACGTTCTTACTTAAACTGATTAAAATGTTATTTTAGAGTCGTTTCAGTCATACCTGTAGTGCGTCTAACACGCAATCAGAGCCTGAAAATGACAGCTTTAAACATCTCTCTCTGCTAATCTCTCCTACTATAGGACAGGCTCATCCAGGGTCAGAAGGCCCACTGATCACATAAACAGGACAAAAAAGTATAAATACTCCACAAACCAGAAATACAACAAGCTTGTATTTCTTTGTAAATTAGTTTGACATCTCTGTAAGAACAGACAGATCTTACCTCTGATTATTTTTCCGCTCATCATCACTTCCAAAATCCTGAAAGACAAAACGAGGCAGAGGATATAAAAGACTGCAACAGAATAATGTTGTGTATCTGCAGTGTCAAATGAATGTCGAGGACAAACTGGGGAGAGGGTTTTACATTTTCCTCCTGTTCTTAAACAACAGCCATCTTTGTTAATCTGATACTTGTAGCAGCAGTCTGGAGAATGTTCCTATTGAGCCCCAGAGTGGATTAGTGAACAGAGACTACTGCACTGAGCACATCTTACTGTAGTCTGGGTCATCCAGAGACTGACATTCACTGTGAGCATGATACATCGTTACTAGGGCAAAAAGATACGTTTGTTGAGTTAATTTAGGACTGGACCTTGATGTGAGATGGTACAGTAGCAACACTGGATGTTGAGCACCATCCCATTGGAATAAAGCGTACCAGTGCCAACTGCTGGTCCTCCCCTGTCAGTGTTGTGATCAGCTGCAACACAGCTGACAGTTGAATCATTAAGACGCTTTCAAACAGCACGAGTTCAGCAAGAACACATCCAAACATCACACTTCTCCTCCCTGCTGGCTGACTCTTGCAAAATAGTGAGCTGTGGTGCAGAAAGTGATATTTATAATCCCCAAACTTCTCACCAGAGGAAGAATGTCACTGCTTATTTTTGTGCCTCAGTTCAGTCAGCCCACTTCAGAGCATGTAATCCACTTTCCTAAAACTAGAAACTGGAGCACTAACCCTGATGTTTGTCAAATCTGGCATTGCTCCACATTTCAATATTGACTTTGTTTTGAACTAAGATTTTGTTTTTTTTCATAGGGAATTTAAAGACACAGTGTGTAAGATTTAAGGGGATTTAGTGGCATCTAGTGGTCTGCAGATTGCAACCCACATATTAGTGTTCTTGGTTCAGGAGGTTTTAACCAAAAGCCGAAATATCCACAGATGTCTCTTCCTCTCACAAACAAACAAACCAGGTGATTAAAACCAGTAAAAACGCTGAATAAAGCACCTTTATGTTACAAGTCAGTGTTTCTCCAAAGGTGTTTGGCATAGCACACCTTTTTTCTCTGATAACTTAAGATCCAGATCTCCAAGAAGTTTTTACTAGCACTATATTTTCAAATGCATATATAATGGGAGACATTAAAAAGTTAATTTCGAGACTGTACAGAAGAATCACTCTGCAAAATATATTAAACAAAAATGGGAGAAAGAATCGCACATACAACAGAGGAGGACTGGACGGAGATATGCGAGACAGGCAACTACTGCAAACTCAAGGTCCCTGATGGAGTTTGGTTGGAATTATCTTGTGCAATTCTTTCTCAATGGCACTGCGAACAGGTCTACAGAGCCGGAGCTTTTGTTGGAGGCAATGCAGAACATCACTGGCCAATCATTATCATGTTTCTGGGCATGCCCAAAAATAGAACCATACTGGCAAGATATTGCAGGTGAGAATCATAAGATAGTTGGGATGGATTTAGTCTACACATTTGCAACACTATACCTAGGAAAAATAACTGAAACTGTCCCACACAAAGATAAATATTTAAGATACTTATGGCAAGTAGCAGGAAAGCCATGTTGATCCTCCGACATTGGCCCAATAACTGGGGATTATAAACAAAATGTACAATGTGGAGAAACTTACTTTTATTTTAAGGCTAGAGATGGAAAAATGTAGAAAATATTGGAATGAATGGATTGTGTATGAACACCATTGAGAAAAGTGTGACACTGTATGCCAGGATTTAAGTGAAAAATGTACTGTGATTTGACCTTGTGACACCCATGATGACCTCACGTCTGTTTTTTTTTTTTTTTAAATAAAAAAAGAGTTGCGGAAAAAAAAGGTTTTTTTATTGGGAGCTGAATGATTCGCAGAGTTCTCTTCTTTTCCAAAATGAATGGAACCGGATATTTTAACTGGTAAAACACTGAACAAAGCTGGTTCACATTTAAAAAAAAAAAAAAATCAGTGTTTTTCAGATGCTCTCGTCGTAACTACGGAGGCTGACGTGAACACGCAAATGACCCTATCTAGAGCCAGTGGTTCCCACTGGTGCAGCCATGGGGTCCAGATTTCCCCTGAGTCACTTGTTCAAGGTCCACACGGTTTAATAGATCCAGTGTCATACTTGCGTTTGACCATGTCGTCAAGCTAGTGTGCTGTCTCTGTTAAGTAGTAGCTCGCGTAGTAACTCACGCTACAGCAGAAACGTAAAAGGCCTGTGCCTGAAATTCACCGTACTCTAAAGTGTGTTTTTTACAAACTTGACATGTTCTGGGTCACTAGGGGTCCATTCAGAATGGACCCATGACCCACTTTTGGACCACAGCCCACCACTTGGATGCCACTGATCTAGAGCCAGTGTTCAGTTTGTCTGTTCTGGGCTTCTGTAGAAACATGGCGGACTCTGTCGATGAGGACCAGCTCTTTATTTAGATACAAACAGCTCATTATAAGATAATAAAAACACAACAATTCTTATTTTCAGGTGATTTTACGCTAAGATGAAAACATACTTGTTAAATTATATCCCCCTAAATCCTACACACTGGACCTTTAATGTCACAGCCTTAAAGTTGTCAAAGTCAACGTTACATCTCACTGTCAGGAGCTGAACCTGACTGCATGATAACATATAGTCACTTTTTTCATTGTGATGTAACAGTGTGTGAGGTGCTGCATACCTCAGTGACATCACTCATTAGGTGTTTCTTTCTGCAAGTTCATGAACACTTGACTGAACTGTGCTGAGCATACTTCCAAAAATTGCTGTCATTCCCCTTTAAAGTCTCCTCCCCAGCACTGAGGCTGCATTACTACATAAAAGGCCAATAACAAGGAGGGAGAACAACCTGAGTGCAACGCAGCAAATGTTTGTGCAGCAGCAAAATGACCACTTTGTCTGACAGCTAAACCCAGCAGCCCCCCTCCCCTCTGCAGGATTTTGTTTACAAATCCGCTCCCACAGTAGCCACAAACAACTCTGTGCTGGTAACAATGCAACACTAGATCAAGTTTAACACACAGCAGCGATGACGGAAGTAAAGTTAACCCTTCCTGCAGGATATTAAACAGCACCCAGTGTGGATTGATAGGGGCTCCTGAAGGCGCATTCACGGCGTCTCTTCGCACCGCGCACACAAAGACCGAGCCCCGGCTTTTCCACTTACCTCCCCCGCACTGCTGTTGGTCGTGCTGGCCGAGGATGCTGCACTGGGAGTGGGGGAGCGCTGCAGAGTCACCAGGGCCATGGTCGGAGGGCTGCAGGCTTGGAGGGCAGCGGAGGAGGAGAGGAGAGGAGAAGGGAGGGGAGGAGGATGTGGGAAGATGCGCCGCTGAGATTGTCTCTGTCACCGGGGAGAAAATGCCTAGTCAGACTCTCATCCAGCAGCACCTGACTCCACAGCCTCGGCGCTGCTGCTCCCGTTCAGTCCTGCTCCGTGCGTCCTCCGGTGTCACCGCGGTCTTCATGAGCGGGAAGTCAGGAGAGATTTCCTCCGTTTGTAGCGAGCCAGCAGCAGCAAACCCCGCGATTTCATCACTGCTGCGCAGACAGACAAACAAAACACGGTGCAGGTTGCAAGCGGGGCAGAAATGACATGCAGCTCCGGCGGACGCCTGTGATTGGCTGGCCTAGTTCGCGTGTGCGCTGTCATTGGGCCAATGTTGTCAAGGTGACTGGCCAGACTAGGAACTCCCAAATACAAATGTTGGTGAAATAATATTCTGCTCGTGTTATGAAACACTGTGAGGTTGACATAATGTCGAGGCGGGCACCAAATAACCATTATATGCACATTCGATTCATCTGCTTATTACAGTCTCTAATAATCATCAGCCTACATAGCCTTACATCATAAACTGTTAAACATGCCTGTCACAATCTCGAGTCCTCGGTGATGTCACCAAATGTCTTGTGTGGTTCAAGCAAAACACAAATATTCAATGTACTGTATATTAAAACAAAGACAACACCTAATTTTCACATCTGAGAAGAATATTTGGCTTTTATCATGATTGCAGATTAGTTTCCTGACAACCAACTTCTCAATTAATGGAGTAATTGTTTCAGCTCTAATGACAGAAGAACCATAGGTGTATTATGAGACAATGGGCCCCTGAGGACAGATATGCAAAGAGCCTTAAAACCTCCCCTACACTGGAGCAAGAGAGACTTTAGGCCCGTTTCTACCAAGCAGTACAGTACTGTGCAATTAAGTTTGATAAGCTTTATTTCTGTTTCCACTGTGTAAAGTTGTGGATGGTACCAATGGGACCGCCGTACCATCCCCGTTTTTGGTCCCCCCTCTGTTGGGGTACCTACAGTAGCACACAGATCTGGTACTAAAAGGTGGAGCTGTGAACACTGCAGTTCGTTGATTGGTCAGTAGCGAACAGTCACTCTGCTCAGGGCTGAGTTGTGGCTGGTTTTGTTGCCACTGTTCATACCATGGACAGTTTTGCATATATTAGTAAACTGTAGCAGCTGTAGTCTGAGAAAAATAATTCACTGTGCCAACTGCTGGCAACTTTTAAGGTGGAACGTTTACTTGTGATGTTGCTCACTGCACGAGTTGACGATGTGAATCCATCAACACGCCTTAAATTTCACTGTGACAAATCTGACCATTAATTTTTACTGTCTCTCTCGGTTGACACAGACTTTTAATAATGAGTGGATGTTCAAGCATTTAAAAATATTGCGACCGGATTATGTGAACTGCATAAATTCTAACCCTCACTCTAAGAAAAAAATAAAAGCATTGCGGAGTGTTGTTCCTGTAGGCTACAGCCGGCTGCACTTGCCTTAGAAAGACTAAATGCTCATACCCGCTATTTTTAAATATCCCATGGAGAGAGACTCTCACTGCAGCCTGTGCTATTTGTTCTGAAAATGTCAGCGTGCAGCCTCGTTCTGTGGACGATAAACGAGGTGCAGACTGATAAAGGAGAAAATACAGTGAGTGCTGGACGGAGCAGTGAGTGACGACAACCCCGCCCATGTTCAAGGGTTCTGTTTGCAGTGGAAACGCTACGGTCTAGGTACCATGTCTGAAGGGTTACTTTGGTTCCAAAGGTACAATACTGAAAGTGTTTGGTGCATCTCTTGTAGTCTTTTTGAGTCTCTTCCTGGTCAGTACGTGCTCATTTGCCATTTGACATCTTGCAAGTGAAAGTCAGGGGCCCCCCTGACACTTTGGCCCCCTGTGCCTGTGCTCAGCAGGCCTGATCAGTAATCCATCCATGAATAGAACCATGCACTATGATCCACTGACTTTATTAAATAGAGACGAAAGAATATTGGTCAACTTTAATTAGTGAAAGGCATCCTGGCTTCATATATATAAATAAATACATTAAGTCATTTTTATCCACATGTAAAATAAAGGTCTCTGTCTCTTAAAGGCAAGGCTTAAAGTGTGCAGCTGTAAGCAGAGCCCGTACAGTGAATCATCATTGTCCCTCCGTTGCTTCTCATGGCCTTGATGAAGAGAGGGTAAACAAACCAGTCCAAGCACAAGTGTGCTTCCGCTCTCATTAGACATGGGAAGTAGGCCTACCCTCAATTATCACTCCCGGCCTGTAATGAGATTGTCCCCCCGTTGTTCTTCACCCATCATCGCTCACAGGATTCAATTCAGAGTAAAACAGGCAACTGTGGCATCTACAGTTGCCTGAAGTAAACAAAATATCCTTTCTATTTTTATTTCAGTCCTCCTGATTGTTTTATCTCTACTCCGAGGGATGTGTTGTATTATTTGAGTTGCTGGTTGGGGCGACCGTCTGCTCTCCGGCCTCCTGATCATGACCAGACTCCTGGAGAGTTCTGCCCAGCGTCTCAATGGGCAGCAGCAGGGATACAATGCCACCCAACAGACTTAAGACACAGTAAAACGACAGGGTCACAGGCAACGATGCCCGCAGCAACACCTAAAACCAAAACACAAGACATGAGGAGCCAGGCGAAGAAGCGTGAAGCCTGAAGGAGTCTAATATCAGAATGCTTCTGGAACTTATTTCTTGGTCACCTCCGCATACCTGTGCCACGAAGGGTGTGATCAGGGCACCCAGCCTGGCTACTGCACTACAAGTCCCCATTGCAAAGGCTCTGATTTCTGTAGGGTACACCTAATGAGAGGAGAGATATTTTTTTTCCAGTTGAAATGATCTATAAAAAAAAAATTAAACATTCCAGAGGTAAAATGATGAGTAGACCTACCTCTGGTGTGTAAACAAAAACAACCTGGAATCCCCCAGAGACAGAGGCTCTGGCAATAAAGATGCAGATTGTAATACCCAGCCTGCATGGACAGAAAGACAGACACAGTGAGTTAAGAGATCAGCCTTCATATTTTAATATAGTGCTGTTCCAATATGAAAACTAAACACGCAGACACAAACTTACCTCCCAATACAAGCATACAAGGGCAGAATGAACAAAGAAAACACAAAGAAAGTCAGAGCCATACTCTTCTTCCTGCCAATACAGTCAATTCCCAGAAGGACGATCACAATACCTGAAGCAAACATGGGAAACACACAGCAAACACTGTCAAACATTGTAAAAAAATTGAACAGTAACTGTATCCGTGTTCAATCAGATTCTTCTCATGAATGCACTATGATGAATTATATAGCATGAGGGAACTGTTCCTGACGACAGCATCATGAAGGTCTTCACCTAACAGTTTCAATTATATACTACAGCTCTGGAAAAATACTAATAGTGGGCATTTTACCTGGAAATTCAGCCATGGTCGTCCATAAAAGGTCTTTGTAGTCAGCTGATGTCAAATATTTGCATTCCAGATTACATTTCGGTTCAATCTTGGCCCCATACGCCGCTACGTGGGAGAAGGACAGCTTTTAAATGGTGTTAGTTCCAATTTAAGATGCCACATGACAAATGTTAAGAGCTCATCCATATAGAGCTGTTACTCACCTGCACATTTATTTCCAGTTTGGAAAAGCTCAGTTGTCAACAGGACTATTCCGTAATAGGCGAAAGCATTTACAAACCTTTGGATAAAATAACAGGAAAAGGTTTTAATTGTGTACAAGTAGTTAAAAAAAAGCATCTAACACATGGCTGGATAACACCCTAGCGGACACTGGAGAAAAAACAGCTATGGTCCCCTGTTGCCCCAACTCTCTGTGCATCATAGATGTACACACGTACCCTCAACTGGCTTCAACCACTACTTGGTAATCCAGTTGCTGGTAGGGATGTCAACAGTCAACTGTTAATTGCCTCTGATTGTCTTGCTCTGACATTCTTACCCTTACCCTAATAAATCTCACTCCTCCTGCCTAAGCATAACCAATCCAAACAATGGGAGCAGTGACTACTAGCCAATCAGAAGGATATTAGGGTGGGTCATGCCTTTGCCATAGAAAAAGAAAATCTGTGTCCCGGTGGTGGTACCAGCGGTAATCATGAAAGAGCGGTGCCGCTAGCTAGCTAGCTCCCACTTGACCCGGGTGGTGTGCAGTACAGAGCATTCGAGGCTAACGTTAGCTAACCAGTGTAGATCAGAGGGTGGGCAGTGGGCACTATGTTTTTGCATGTTAATGTACCCAGCCAACCGTCTGTCAGCAAAGCCAACAGAAAATTCAATGAAAGGCAAGACATTTATATTACAAAACATTAAAATATCACCACCTGTAAATGGACAGCACTTTGAAATGCATCACTAAAGCTCCCACTTAGTCAACAGAGTGCCAAAGTAAAAGGAAAGGCCTGTATTTCACATCAATTGCTTTTTAAAAACAAATAATTGGGCTATTGAAAGCAAAGTTACTGACATCCCTAGTTATGGAGAGGAGAAAAAAAGTTACTCAAACTAACCAGGTAAACAACAGAAGAATAGTAGTTTTCCGATACTGAGGAGTGAAGAGATCTTTGATCCGTGCATGTTTAGTCTGTAAAATTAAAATAACAATTACAGAAGGCATGTTTGTTAATATCAACAATTGAGCATTGTAAACGACACTTATCTGAACAAATGTATGAACCTATTTATCTTTTACCTCACCTGTTTACAGGTGATAAGCCTCCCCTGAGGCATGGGCTTGCCGTTGTCGTTTGCGATGCGTGTTAAAGTCGCCATGGCCTTCTCCGTTTGTCCCAACAGCAAATGAAAACGAGCACTTTCAGGCAGCCACTGTGTAACACAGAAAGTTTAGTTGAGAGCTCCACTCCAGCTGGATTTATTTCATTGATAAACAGTATACTTACAAAACAGAAGCAAATAAAGACTGCCATTGGTATAGTGGACAAGCCGAGCAGCGCCCTCCAGCCAAGAGTGGGCATTATGAACAATGCCAGGAGGACCTCGAACACAGAGCCAATCGCCCAGAAAGCCTGATGCACACAAACACATCAGACAGAATGAAATCAAAGAGCAGTTTACTTAATCAGATCAAAGATTCAACAGAATGAGGTAAAAGTCATGCATTAATAATAAAAACACCACATTACCGCGATCAGCATGACGCAGATGCCTCTTGCCTTCACAGGGAGGAATTCTGAGTACAGCGTCACCCTAAAAAGAGACTGAATGTTTGTTGCTAATCATTTCATAGCTATTAAAATGATCTGGTGCACTCAGTGCAGGCTTCATCTCGTCAAAAGCGGAAGACACAGTGGAACTTACGACTGAGCCGATCCACCGATGCCAAAGCCTACGAGGGCACGCAGGGCCAAAAGCCAGCCGTACACTGGAGCAAAGGCACTCAATACGCCATACATAATAGCCCAGCACATAGACATCGTCAGACCCTGTTTACCACAGAGACATGTACATAAAACACACAAGTTTAACATCAAATAATGTACAAAAAACACCAAATCATTTCTGGGATCTCTGCCTTTTCACATAAGCCAGGAGAGCAGCAGCAGAGACCCCCTAGTGTACAGACCAGAGCATGCATCAGTGACAACAGAAAAAAACATTCAATAGTCAGACACAGCTTGAAAACGAGGAGCTGGGGTTATAAACATAGACTTGAGTTCGGCATCACTGAACTAACGCTGTGCTCAACACTTAGAAAACCCAGACATGAGACTTACTACTCTTCTGCCGTACGTGTCGCACACATTCCCCCAAAAAGGTGCACCAAGGCCCATTCCGACAAAGACCACCTGTGGCAAAAAAAATTAAAAAAAAATCTTCAGAGCAAATATTTTCACACATTGCAAAATCAACAAGCTGTAGAATAACACTTCTCTGAGAATACCTAAAGGGACTTTACCGATGTTATGAGAGCCACCTGATAGCCGGGGAGCCTCCACTCACAGTGCAGCTGCGGACTCAAGATACTAAGGAGCATCATCTCCATGGCGTCTGCTATCTACTCCCAGAGAGGCAGAGTGCTACATAAGAGATATATCTGCTAGTCAGAGTGAGAACTTTTCTACATGTTTTAGGATTCTTACCCATGACAGTCCGGTGAGGATAGACATTTTCCACTGGAACTTTCCAAAGCCGATGCCCTCCAGTACATCATCTATTGTAAAGGTCTCTGTAAGGACAATACAGTCACTGCAGGTTCAAAGTCCCCTGTAGAATCGCAACAAACACTACATAATGCATAAATAATATGTTAAAATATCTGTTATCGCACATCTCAAAAAGGTTCTTAATGATGTTAAAATAATATTTTAGTTGGGAGCTTACAACAGTGGTGGCCCCATGAATGAAAATCACATACTGATATACTTTGATTTCTTATTTTACAGTTAGTGTTTCTCATTATGTTATGTGCACAGACTAATACTGAAATCCGATGGCCTGTCCGTGGGCCCTCCTAAGGTGTTGTCTGATGATTATGATATGTAAAACAACAGCTGATTTGTTGACTGAAGTGGTTTACTCATTCAAACACATTATTACATCCATAGATGTCCCCAAACTGCTGTTGCATCATTTCAAATGTTCATACTTATTACATACTACATATTATCTGTAATTTCTCTGTCCTGCATGTAAAAGAACAGAGCCAATTTTGCCCAATTCTTATGGGTCTTGTAGTCAATGACACTCCTGAACCTGAAGTGCACTTTTAAACGGGTTACTGGCAAAAATGATAAACAAATGGCTCTTATGTTGTCGTCAGAGAAAAGAAACAGTCTGTCTTATCACCTTAGGTTTTCTAGAAGTGTTTTTAAGCTCCTAAATACACACTTCTGTCTGTGTTGATTAGATTGTCACCCATAATCACACATTATATACATTGTTTTATCTTCTTTTTTTAAAAAGCGCCAGGACAAAACCTTAGAAAGACTGGCTGATAACTGTCTCCCTCACTGTAACAGAAGCTGATTAGACTTACCTATGTAAATGTGTTGCTAACAGGCCTTAGATCAGCACACAAACTCTAAGTCTGTGTGTTTTACTTACAACAGTACATCTCTGAGGTATTTGTACTTAAGTACTCTGTTAAATATAACTTTTTACTTCTACTCCAAAACATTTTAAAGGGAAATACAGTGCTTTTTACCCCCTTTTGTTCACATACTACACAGTAGATACTTTTAAAATTAAAATTCAACAAAAAAACATTACATTAAATGATCAAATATGACACTTTGTTAAGTATCAAACTATCATAAAGTATATAAACAATTAAAATGATCTATATGCTGACCAACTACAAGATTGAAGGATTGCTCACGTCAATTTGTCAAAAATACTGATCCAGTCATATAATATTACAACCTTGACAGAGGACAATATGCTGCCTGATGAACATGTTTACCTTCAATATTTTAAGTACATTTTGTTACTAATACCTCTGTATTTTCAGTAAAACTTTCAGTAAAACTTTGAATGACTTTCACGTCATGGTATTGCTTTTACCCAAGTAAATTCCCTAAGTACTTCCTCTACAGCTGATAGTAGGTCAGCTGATCTACTGATCACTGCTACAATGTACATCTGTTCCTCAATTCATATGCAAACTGTTGCCTCTTATTTCCTCAACAAAAACAAGTATAGTCAGGGTAGAGTGATTTTCAGTTTGCAAAAATTAGACACATACATTTGTACTGAAAAGCCACCGTGATGACTGTATTCCTCACATTTCCTCACATGGCAGACAGACAAGAATCAAACAGTGTACGAGCTACAATGAACTGTGTTGTACAAACCCTCAGTTTTATCACTCCCAGATGCAGACGTGCTTTCCCCTGGGTCGACTCCTGCTGAGGATATAGTGCAGATCTCATTGTCTGTGCCCTGGTCCTCATCACCTTGACCAATGAAATTTCCCTCATCCCTAAATGTCAGCACATCAAAAAGAGAAATTTAGGCAATATTAAGCGCAAAAGTTTGAGTTTTAAGTACAATATATCATCTAATGACAGCAGTTCGCCTAAGCCTGGACACACACAACCCTGCAGCAACACTGTAAACACAGCTGACCAGGTTTTTGTCTCAGTGTTTCCCTATTAGCATTACAAACATATGAAGAAATACACCTATCTACATGCTGTCTTACCTCAATTCAGGATTTCGCCACCGCTTGTAAGCAATCCTGGCTCCTCTGCTCAGCCTGTCCATTTTGGTGTTGGTCTCAGATAGCTCTCACCTCTGCTACACACACACCTGTTTTGCCAAACCTGCTGGTGCAGTCACTTCAGGTTTCAGTAAGACAACCAATCAGAGAACAATACCTCAGGAGAAGAAAAGGGAGGGGTCACACCAGGAAACTAGGCTAATGTGAAAGAGTGAGTGGACATGAGCTTTGTATAGTTTTTGACACTGAAAGTGTGGGTAAGCTGTATTTATTGAAACATTCTCTCTAGAGCAGTGGTTCTCAGACTTTTTTTTTAAATAGTGTGCTCCCTTTGAAATATTTTTTTCAGCAAAGTGCGCCCTGACAAGCCCAAAACATTTTGGCCAGAAACAACTCACACAGTGAACAAAAGGAAACGTGACTGCATTTGTTGTGGCAGCTGACAGGTTACGGCAGGGATTAACTGAACTGAAAGTAGTTTAAATATAACTGGGTTTTATTGGCTGTTTGTCAAAGTAAATTTGACAATAATTCAATTACAAACATTAATCTAATCAGTGGAGTTAAATGAAACTCTAGCTTAGGTTCTTATCCAGTCCGACTTACAATACGTATAACAGTGATCAAAGCGGAAGGTCATTTAATTGTTCATCAAAAGTTAAGGCAAACACAAAGTGTGTGTCAGAGTCCATACACTACTCCTCTGACTACAAGACGATTATATGAGTGAATAATAAAAGATACAATGTTGAAGTAAGTGAACAAATATTTGACATGATTCACCAATGGGGGTTGACATGACGTATAGCTCACAACTACAGCACTGTGGCTCACTAGCTGATTAGCAGCCATAGCCTGCAGCCAACAGCAGGTTGTGCTCTCATCCTTCTGGTGTTGGTCAAATAGCCAGAGGGCTTACTGTAACTGTGGAGGTGGCTGTTATCAGATGTTGCTCTTCCTGAGTTCATGGCTGTGTTTATGTTTGGTCATAGTTACACACAACAATCATTGTGGTAATGACACTTTCAAAAGCCTAATTTCTCTCTTCCAAGAAGCCCCAGGAGAGAAGGGGATTCTCTTGTAGAAGTAAAAGTGTTACTTCCTGTTGCATGTATATGAGAACATGAAACTCAGACTTCACGAGGCTGCCTTTTCAGGCCAGCTGCTCCTCTGACACTGGACTCTGGATTACCTACAGTATCTCAAACAAGTGTTTTAGTGGCAGAAAACTACAATGAGCTGAAACCAGTGGCTATATAGAATATACACAATGCATGTGTAGGATGCCTATTTGTCCTGTAGGGGTCACTATACTGTCATGGGTGTCTGTCTGTATATGTAGAAACCTTCAGGGATAGGTGTTGATAGACGGAGGAGCACCTACAGTTTTTTGACAGCAATGCCGGGCCATGTCAAGTCAATGTTATGGTGAAAATGTGTTTATTTGAATGGTTTATGAACACAGATTCATGGATGTTTGCATGTTTTTCATTTAAGACTACAGTTTTCACCTGATGAGCAGCAGTAGGTTATGTCAGGCAAATGCGTCAACTACTAAACAGCCTGTCTATGTAGCCCCTCAGTGGCTTTAGGTTTAGGCTAAGCGGCTATATACACAATATGCTACAACTAGTTTCATATAACATATGTACTGTATGTGAAGACTTTGAAGGAGTTTCATAAAGGGTCTTTAGTGTATTTTTTGGCAAACGTGGTTGCTCCACTCACATCTCCAACATGGCGGTACAGTCAATCTATACAGTAACCACAGTTTTTAGGTGGACACCCACGATTAGTGTCGCCAATTCAGTATCTCCCCCAATGTCTTCCCTTCTGTCCCTTCTGTTGAGTTATAGCATTGAATAATGGCCAGAAGTGTTTTTGCAGAATATTGTGATGTCACAGTGAGGTTGACCTTTGACCTTTCAGATATAAAATGCCATAACTTTATCATTTTGTCCTATTAGACATTAGCATGAAATGTTTTCATAATTAAGAAATACATTTTTGAGTTACAGCCCCAAACATGTTTTGTGAGGTCACAGTGACCTTTGACCTTGACCACCAATTCTAATCAGTTCATTCCTGAGTCCATGTAGACATTTGTGCCAAGCTAGAAGAAATTCCCTTAAGGCGTTCCTGAGATGTCATGTTCATGAGAATGGAACGGACAGACAGTCCAAAAGCATCAAGCCTCCAGCCATGGCTGTCAGTGGTGTGGAGGCGTAAAAATATAAAACATGATGCCATGTTTCGGAAAATGGTCAGCAGTAAATTGAAAAGTACATGAGATCTCTTGTAAATGGGTAGTGTTTAGAAACACTGGTACAGTCTCCAAGGTACAAAGACCCCTGAAAGTACCAATACACAATGTAAAAATACTCCATTACGAGTAACAGTCATGAATTCAACATCCTATGTATTATCAGCACATATTCATAGTTCGGACTTTTCACTTCTTCTTTTTTTTTTGCAGAATCGTACTGTTTGGGGGCTCTAGCATTTGGATTCTCTACTTTCAAAAACCTATATTTAATGCACTACTAGGAGACTGCTTCAAACTGCAGCCCCCTAACAAGCTTCTATCAGGTTAGGACTGACATTTTTTAGAGTGCTACTAAATTATGGCAGTTGGTGGCACCTCGTGAGTGTGGCAGAAATTAAGTTGTCATCAATGCTAGTGCTGTTAGCTAAAGTCAGCAATTTTGGCAGACATCTCTCAACAGCACTTTCTTGTACACCTAAAGTGAATTCATATGCTGAGTCCTTAAAGTGGCACTCATATCCCTTTTCCACTACTCTGGCTCTGGTTCTTGCACAGGTTAGTTTTGAGCGGTACGATTGTAATCGAGGATGTGTCATCAATGGAGGGCGTTGCACCATGTGTAACGGGAAAAAAACACAGTAGTGGCCAGATGGCAGATTACATTGATTACCTCTAAGCTTTGGTTCTGTCATTACAGATATTTGCTTTTATCTAAAAAACAAGCATGGAAAAACGATTAATAATTAGAAGACACAGAAGACTTCAAGACTTCCACACAAGACTCTATCCTCTCTTTACAAACTGTAGAATAAGACACGCCGACTGATGTCGTCACAGTTGAAACTTCAAGAAAAACCTATTGTTTGGTTTCAGCTGGGAACTAACTTTTCTGGCTCTAAACCCACATTCAGAAAAGTTGCATGCCACAAGTTATATACTTATAAATTACACCTTTATTTTATATCTATCATATATATATATTTATATATATATATATATATATATTTAGAAAATTAACTTTTGCTACAGCACTTGAGAGTACATGCCAATACAGTATGTTGCATAGACATGGCCTAAAACGTATTACTGGCAGTGTGATGTGCTGGGAAGTATATACCACTTCATCTATACATTAATTTTTTTTTTGTTACTAAACTTGGAACCAGTTAGATCTCCCAGTTGATACTGAGTATTTACAGCCACAGGAGGACATCTTGTCTGTGGCTGTTGGAAGCTTTCAGTCCTCTGCGCCCTGCAAGTGAACAAGGCCAACCTCAAAATAAAAGCTGTAGAAAAGTAGGACACTGTGGGGACATGCTGAGGCTGCTGCATTATGGGACGGTCATAAATACAGGTAGAATATACATCTCTGTCCTCACATCCTCCGTTCACATCAGCTGCTTGGTCAGACTCACACAGAACAACACAGAAACCTCAGCTGAGCTCATTTGCACAAAGAACTAAGACATGGATTCAAAGGTAAGATTTGACACCTACTGCACTTAAAAGCAAAAATATTGTAGTCGTGTGTTTTTTATTTTGACATGTAAATTACTCATCCTGCTAACAGATATTTAATCTGTTAAAATGCCATTTGTATGTACAAATTACTAAAACAGCTGATTTTGTGATGCTGTACTTTAATTACTGTGTGATTTGTTCCCTGAATGCTCCACTTCTGAAACCAATAGTCTCACAGCTGGTTTTGCCCTGTCGACAGCAATCTGTTTGCTCACATGAATAAAGGATTAGCTGAAAGTTTAGTTGTTTGGGACTAACTAGGCCCGTGAATATTTATTGGAACAAGTGTTGGATTGAGGATACGTTGCGATCCAACTTGTCCTTCACTATTTAGGAACAAGATTGTAACAGCTTGTATATTATTTATCTCTTATTACCTGACTTGTGATATTGAGATGTTGAGGTTTTTATGTGTGTGTTCTTGCATGAGTGAGAGTTAATTCCTCACAGTGTATTATTTGAAGGCTAAAATATCAGGTTTTATCACTTTAAACATGTAGTGCAGGAGTGAGGCATGAAATGAACGCAAAAGTGAAGAGATACTTTACCACATTTTTTGTGGTATCATTTAGGCTGACTACCCAATCTCAGCAGTATTTGAGGATTGACCAAATCATGTCCAAATTACTAAATACTGAAAGCACCGCAAATTGATAGCTAATGCTCAGATGCTAAGTCTGCTTGACTTTCTATACTCTTTGTTAAATGAAATAAGTATGTTTATGCTAACAATAGAAATGTATTTAAAAAGCATTTTTTCAGTCTAATAGCTGAGATATGAAATTGGCACAGGTATTAAAAAACTATGATACCTCAGATACTTGTCATCCTGTAAAACATACAATGGCCAAATACTTGGTGTGTAATTTAAAGCAAAACTCTGACGTAGAAATATTGTCAGATCTTTATAGATGGATGAAAGACACAAGATATAAATATGTTTTCAAGCAGAGGTTGCTAATGCATTTATATTGTAATTATACAATAGACCAGAGGTTCCCAACTTGTGGGTCCTGGTCCAAAAGTGGGCCCCAGGTCCTGTCTGAATGGACCGCAAGTGACTTGCTAACATGTCAAGTTTGTAAGTACATAAGTAAGTATTTTGAGGTACGGTGAATTTCCAGCGCAGAGCTTTTACTTTCAAGTGCCATTCCCTGCTGTAGAGTGAGTGAATAATGGACAGCTACATGACAGAGACAGCAAACTAGCTTGAGGACATCGCCAATCAAAAGTATAACGCGAAATAACATTAAACTGTGTGGACCTTGAGCAAATGACTAAGGAGAGATCTGGACCCCATGGCTGGACCAGTTGGGAGGGGGGGCCTCCTA